AAGTTTCAAAACGTTATGAAAAACGTTAATTTAAAGTGTCCTCTTATAACCTCTGCGCGTACGCCGGACGACTCAAACAGAAAACGGAACAGAACGTCACTTTTGAGAGTCGATTTCATTTCAAATTACGTCCAAATTTGGCCATAGCGCGCATACCAGCCAAAAGTGACGTTATTTTTAAGAGGACGGGTTGTACCCACGGTGTCATCGACTGCTGAATGTTAATCGGCTGTCTTCATTTATTCTAGTCCTAATGTATTCCTTTTTATCTAAGTTTAACCAGTTCACTTCGCCTTGATCGCCTGGGTGATACAGTTCGTCCTCCTACCTTCCGACTAGCCACTTTACAGTATTTGCTTCCTGTAGCTTATAGCGTTTCATCTAAGAACTTCAGCCATGTAATTTAATGCAGCCGTCATTGATGAGATGACATTTACGCTTCGTTTTCAGCCTAATTCACCAGCAGTGGCCTTCAAGTGTGGGTCCGCCCACACAACTGAGATATTGCCCATATTTATTCTTGATTAACCACAATAACATTACTCGGCATTTGTTGCCTTCTCCACTTGCGGTAGTCCTGTTTGGCTAGTTTGCAAGGGCGTTTAACTTAGCCCACACGGTTCCTCTTTACATTATCTACAGCATAGTCATCCCGAGTCTTATTCACCAATTGTTGCGGAACTCTGGACACATATTTTCTTAGTATATCGACGCTCTTGATGCTCTGCTTCCTGGAATTTTATTGGATGCACTTTATCTAAAATTTATCCACCTTATGTGTAGCATTTACGCCACTTTAGTTTCCATTTAAGCTGCAACACAGTTATCCGTATAATATTACCTCTTCTTTTCGACGCTTCAGGACTACTCCCAGCATGCTACGTTTCCTAGTTCTCCCAATGTCTTCAGATTGGTCCTTCCATGCTCCTCACCCCCTCCCTCAGGTGCCGCATATTCATTTTCTCCCTAGTTATTGGGGAACAACTTTTTCTGCACTAACTTCTTACACCTCCCCTGCAGCTTTGCTTAACTGCAACATTGTTATACGTGCGTTTAATATTAAACCATTTCTGCAGGCACGCAGTGTTAGTATTCAGCATTATGGCTACATTCTCTCTACCGCGAGTATGCTGCGATCTAAATCCTACCTGAATTATTAGGCTTGATTGCTGGGGCGAATAATCTAGCCCTCAATTAGCCAGACATATCCCGGGAATTTATTTCTCGCAATTTGTAGCATACATTCGGGAACTTCTCCATGTAATTTAATGCAGTTATTACTGACTCTACTAGCGCTTTGATTTCAGCTACGGTAATTTCCACGATGCGTATAAATACACCCCTCGATAAAGTAGGTAGTAGCCTCTGATGTGGCCCGACCTGACATTCCGGTTTTACCCAGGTGACAGGACGCTGGCATAGTTCCACCTGTTAATTATTTTCTTCCCTATGCAAGTCTTCTAGAGGCCCCTGCTTCTGCACGCCGTCATACTTATACTGGATGCCCACTCCAGCCCACCCTTACTGCCTTAATACTTCTAGAACGGCTACAGACCGCCCAAGGACCACCTGATGAACGGTGAACATTGGATGCAGCCCGAAGATCACTCTTGATGAACGGTGAACTGAACGGGATGAAGTCTGCGGGACGGCTTCAGAATCACAGCCGCCGTGTGAAAGACCCTGGGGAGACAGCCTATATGCGGACGGATTGCCACTCAGTATGTACCCTAGGGCTGGTCACTGCGGGCGGTCCTGCAGAGACGACGCCAGCCACGCGGTCGACCCAGGGAAGTCGGCCTCTGTGTAGAAGGGTCTCCATCTCCCGCACCCGCCCTGGGGCCAGCCTCGCAGGGCTAGTCTCTGCGAGAGTGGGCTACAGCGACAACGACATCCAAGAGGACGACTTGGCGTGTGTACTAAGGTATGATACACAGCAAACGTGCCGCAGTACATCCGCTTAACAAGAACATCCAGTAGTCCACCTTGCCTATACCTACCCCAGATGGTGCTCCACTGGTCCCATCCCAGATACTGCTTAACTAGCAGCATCAACCTCGTATGCCCGACTCTGTAACTTTTTCAGTTCAGGAAATCCTAACTGTTTTTTTAACGGTAGAAATAATGGGTGTACGGGCACGGATGTGGACACAGAGCAGGCAAGCACCAATGGCCAAGGAAGCAAGTGACGTCACATGGCAAGGCGGCTAATCCTGATGTAGCGGGATTATTGCCTACGTTATTCTAACATATCTCTAGCCTCTCTGTCCCATCCTGGCATGCATACGATGCCTACATTGGAAGGGACGCTTGTTACGAACCCGGATCCAGCGTCCGAGGCCGGAGCAGTGACGACCACGCCATCTGTGGGTCAGCTCCCGAAACCCCCTCCAAACGGACGACGACACCTGGTGAGGACGACGTGTACTGGCTACGAGAGCCAGTTTCCAGTCCCGTTCAGCGCTCAACACCGCCGCCGCTGACCTCTGGTGAGGTGGTGCTCAGACTACAACGCCATCTATGGAGTGGATATGTCGGGCGTTTGTGCCTGAGCCCGTAAGTGAGGTGTTTTAGTGTGTCCCAGTTATTGATGACGTGTCTGCTTACAGAGTCGACCTGGGACTGCTGTGATGGAAGTTGAGTCAGTCTACCCAAGGCAGCCGTCTCCATACCTTGTGCTTTGCTGCAGCAGCTGTGACGTCGTCCCCCGGAAGAACACTGTGGTGTTACCCTGTCAGTGGAGTGGCAGTAGAAGGATTACCCGGGACCGACTGCTGGAGACGATTATCCACTGGGGTATTGAGGACAGGAGAGTGATTTGTGGTATCACACGAGGCTCCTGTCTAGGGCGTTACCCTTATATCGTTCGTGGAGTGGCCTGACCAGCCTTGCTGATCCGGAACCTGCCAGCAGACCTGCTGGACGTGTGGTTGACGGCCTCCACGGCGGTGCCCCCAGTGGACCTGTGTTTTGGCTAGCCTGTGCCTGGGCTAGACTCAGCTTGGTCGAAGGATTCGTCAAGAGACCACGAGGATCAAGAGCACCGAGGACTCAGCACCGAGAGTCTGGGTCCAGAGTCTTCAGCAGAAGACCATTGTGTATTTCCCCTGTACAGTGTTAATACCCCTCCCCCTGTGCACTCTTTTATATATTTATTTGGTGATGGTAAATTATAGTCTTAAGTTCTTAACTTTCTTTCCCTTTCCCCTTTAAGTTTCTTGCGTCACGGATCACATCCCTTGAAAGCCACTACTGGCTTGGGGCCGGATACAACTTACTCTAATAATATCAGAGTACGAATCCCGTTGCGACCCGAGAGGGCCGTAACAACGCTACCGTCATAAACCCCTATACAGCAGCCAGCTAAAGCTTGCCCTTTGGGATGGGGTTCCGCGCCGCTATCCTGACGGATGGGGGTGCTCCGCCGGAACCCTAAAGTGATATGCTGTCGTAGCTGTGGTAACTCAGCTAGTACATAATTATTCAAGAGTAGGTTTAATGGTACTAAGCATAAAACCAAGAAAGTACGAATGCTAGGAACATACAAATCGGAAATAACAAAGCTTAATTCATTATTCATAAATGTACTAATAAAGGCAAAATTAAGTTCGACCATTAACCGGAGAAAAATGTAAATGTAAATATTTATTTATACCTATGGACTGCTATACTTACATACTAAGTAATACTTACCTTCATACTTAGCAATAACTATATACTTACATTTACTTATGTAATACTTATACCTGCATCTATAGTTACTCCTATGTACCTACTTATCAGTTACGTTTATAATACTTATTCATAAATGTAATATTTACAAATATTTATATATATTATATTTTATAATATAATAATATTTTATAATAATATATATTTTATTATATAAATATGTATTAAAATCTATTTATATATAATAAATAAGTACCCACATACTAGGCACGAGTTTTTCTCACTGAATAGAAAAAATATCTCTTTGATATCCCCAGAGTCAAACTAAATATGTGCAAGCACGCCATGCAAATATAAGGACCAAGTCTATGGAACTGGAACTCACTTCCCAACAAATTTCAAAACTGTCTAACCAATGCCTTATTCAAAAGTAAAACCAAAAAGTATCTAATTTCATCCATATAGTTTCCTACCTTGTGCTTCAAACTCACACTGTATCTTGTACTACCCACTTCCGTAATATTAGTACTTAACACATATATCTTCATCAGTGTAATTACTTCCGTCAATCTAAATTGTATAAATATGTTGATATATAACTTTGCTACAATGTACCTTTTAATCTTACGTGATATGTTAGATTAAGGACATACCCGAAACGCTATGCGTGTTAGTGGCTTTGCAAGAATGTAAAAATACAAATCTTATGTAACCTCACCAACCCATTGTACCTTCTTGTGAATACAGATTATTATTATTAGTATTACTATTATTACATTATTATTATTATTATTATTATAAGAAGAAGGTTATTGTGGTTAATGGTGTCAAAAACCTTACAAAGGTCAACAAATAAACTAACAGGGTACTCTTTCTCAAGAGCTGCATGTATCAATTTAATCATACGACTTAGTGAATCATTGGTACTTTTATGGGGTCTGAAGCCATATTGGCAAGAGCAAAGCATATTGTTTTGCTAGATAGGAATAGAGCTAGCTACTTGTAGATTAACTTTTCAAATATTTTTGATATTAGATAATTGGCAATTTCTTACAAAAATTATATGCTGTGAATATACATTTTATATAGGTCAAACATCCAAAGATTTGAAATTTCAAATTTCACAGCATAAATATTCTTTAAGTAATGGCCAATTATCTGATCCTCTATTTATTCATGTGTCAAAATAATTCACAAAATTGATTGGAAGAGGTCTTCTTCAATAAAAAATGTTAAAAGCATTTTTAGTAGAAACGTTACTGAATCTGCTTTAAAACAAATTAAAGGTATTTTAAAATAAAAATTACAATAGTAAACTCATACTGCACCTGCAATTTGTGGTCCCAAATCAACACTGATTTTGGTACCTGATGTTGTGATGATTTCCACCGTGTAGGCTGCCAGTCCCTTCTTCCCACTCACGCTTCTCACTCCAGGAACACTCACTCTCTTCAAACACATATGCAGCCTTGAAAACAAACACAGCATTAATGGTTTGATTATTTTAACATTTATTTATCTATCATAGTTACTGATAGAAATTTTATATCAGAATTATATTAGCTCTAAATTTCACATGAATAAGAAACAGAACAATGTTATAATGTGAATGTGTTAGAACATAAGATTATTTATGTACATGTGTGTATTTACACAAGTGTAATTACAGGATGAGAGCTATGCTCATGGTGTCCTGTCTTCCCAGCAATGCCATCTAATGTTTTGAAGCTGCTCACAGTATTGACCTACACCACCTACTCACTCAACTTGTTCCAACAATCTACCACTATGTTTGCGAAAGTGAATTTTTCTTATATGTCTTCAGCAGCTCTGTTGCCGTAATTCTGAAATTGGAAAGCATAGCATAGGCTCCTCGCACAATGTTTTTTTTTGTGCGGTCCTCAGGTGATAGTTTTCTATCTAGAACCACTCTCTGGATCTCTTTCTTTATCAGAATTTGATGTAGTTTTTCACAAATTTGTAGGCTGTGTTGGGTCTATGTTCTCCTGTTCCACATTCCATAACATGCCATTTAATCACATTAAATGCCATTCGTCAAGTGTGCTCCATGCACTTATTTTTTTCAGATCTTCGTAAAGGGCATGACAAAATTCTAAGTTTCTTATCTTCCCTAGTATCGTAGGATCATCACCAAGCATGTTCATATAATTCTGTATTCCTTCTGGTAATTACACAGAACTGGCGGTTTTGGCCTCCACCACTTGTTCCAACTGTCTACCGCTCTGATTTTTTGGGCATCCCTGTGGAGAGGAGTCATAGCAAATGTGTGAAAAAGGCTAACATAGTTCCAATCTACAAAAGTGACAGCAGGGAAGATCCACTAAATTATAGACCTGTATCATTGACAAGTATAATAGTCAAAATATTGGAAAAAATAATTAAAACTAAATGGGTAGAACACTTGGAGACAAACTATATAATAACAGATAGACAGTATGGTTTTCGATCTGGAAGATCCTGTGTAACGAATTTACTCAGTTTCTATGATCAAGCCACAGAGATATTACAGGAAAGAGATGGTTGGGTTGATTGCATTTATCTGGACCTAAAAAAGGCTTTTGACAGAGTTCCACATAAGAGGTTCAGGAAATTGGAACATATTGGTGGAGTGACAGGTAGGTAGGCATCGAGCATGGATGACAAGTTTTTTCTGACAGAAAAATGAGTGCAGTAATCAGAGGCAATGTATCGGACTGGAGAAATGTCACGAGCGGAGTACCATAGGGTTCAGTTTTTGAACCGGTAATGTTCATTGTCTACATAAACGATCTACCAGATGGAATACAGAATTATATGAACATATTTGCTGATGATGCTATGATAATTTGTTTATTTATTTTTTATTTATTTATATATACAAGAGTTCTTACATTCTTGTACAGACACTATACGCATAGCGTTTCAGGCAAGTCCTTAATCCTATGTGCCCTGGAATACGACCCAACGAAAAATCGTTTAACAACCAAGTACCCATTTTATTGATGAGTTAAACACAGGCTACAGTTAAGGATTTGCGCCCATGCACCCAGTAAATCCCCCCTGGCCAGGATACGAACCCAGGACAAAGCCCACGCGAAACACCAGGCGAGCGTCTTAACCACTACACCACGGGGACTGCTAAGGAACGACACGGATAATAGGGAAGATAAGAAACTTAGATGATTGTCATGCCCTTCAAGAGGACCTGGACACAATAAGTATTGAGCACCACTTTGCAAATAGAACTTAATGTGAATAAATGCCATGTTATGGAATGTGGAAGAGGAGAACATAGACCACACACAATCTATACATTATGAAGGAATCTTTAAATAATTCTGATAAAGAAAGAGATCTAGGCGTGGTTCAAGATAGAAATCTATCACCTGAGGACCACATAATGCACATTGTGCGAGGAGCCTATGCTACACTTTCAAACTTCAGAATTGCTTTTAAATACATGGATGACGATATACTAAAGAAATTGTTCACGACTTTTGTTAGGCCAAAACTAGAATATGCAGCGGTTGTGTGGTGCCCATATCTTAAGAAGCACATCAACAAACTAGAAAAGGTGCAAAGACATGCAACTAAATGGCTCCCATAACTGAAGGACAAGAGCTAGAAGGAAAGGTTAAGGCACGTTAAAAATGCCAAAACTAGAAGATAGAAGAAAAAGAGGCGATATGATCACTATGTACAAAATAGTAACGGGAATCGAGAAAATTGATAGTGAAGAATTCCTGAGACATGGATCTTCAAGAACAAAAGCTCATAGATTTAGACTAATTTAACAAAGCTGCCAAAGGAATATAAGAAAATTCACTTTCGCAAACAGAGTGGTAGATGGTTGAAACAAGTTAGGTGAGAAGGTGGTGGAAGCCAAAACCGTTAGTAATTTCAAAGAGTTATATGACAAAGAGTGCTGGGAAGACGGAACACCATGAGTTTAGCTCTCATTCTGTAACTACACTTAGGTAATTAAAAAATAATTACTCTGTCTGCGACAGTTAATTTTCTCATATTTCTTCGGCAGCTTTGTTTGATAATGATAATTTCTGGGGAGAGCCTCGTCGTCTCCCAGGAGCTATACTGGGCTGGTGTGCATATATTAGAACATGGCAACAGTTAATCAATGGAATTCTAGGCCTACCAGGGACAAGAACCAGAACCTGGCCTCATCAAGAAGAGGCACGATGAGCAATGGTTTATAGACACCCCCCGTATAATTGGAAGCAGTCTATGTCTGCCGTCTACTGGGTCATGCACCCAGAAAGGTAGGAATTCCAAAACAAGCTACAGCTGGTCAAAATATTGCAAACCAAAAGGCGAACTAGCAAGCAGAATTCCCTAAACAAAACAAAAACAAGCAAACAAGCATGAAGCCACCACAACTGCCGCGCAACCCCCCCCCCCCCCTTCTCCCTGGGAGGGGGAAGGGGTGGGGGGGACCCAGACCTCCACGCCGGCTACTCTACTCAGTTCGGAAGGCTGTTGTGTTGGTGGCGGTTGATCGACTCTGGCTCCATCTTTTGAGCAGTGCTGCAGAGTGGTTCTGTGCTGGTGGTTTGTGAGCCAGGCGTAACACAAGAGTACCGGGCTGCATGCACCTAGGGCTACCTTCCCTAGGTGCCCTGTAAGTGCTGCCTTTGCGGCTTAGGGTTATCTTCCATGAGCGTTCAGGAGAGACTACTTCCGTGTTGTTCCGTTGCTCAGTGATTGCCCGCCCTTGGGGTTCAGCTGAGGTGGTTCTTATTCCTGTTTGCCCTTGGGTGGAAGGTAGTATTGTCGCTGGCTGGGGCGCAAGGTCTGTGCAGCTGTCTGATATACGCATAGCGACCGGTTCTGTTTCCCAGGAGACGTTGTGTTTTTGCAGGGTTTTTCTTTTGTTTTTGTTTGGTTTTGCCTGACAGGGGTCTGCCTGATGTGACTGTAGAACCAGTTGTATGAATTTGGTGGCCCTCCACTAGGTCTCTGTGCTTGCTCACGTCGCAGGGGTTCAGCTTTTAGTTTGTTTGTATGGTAGCTCTGGGATAACCGGTTAGCAGTTCCTTGCCTGGGCTTCCCTTAGCAGTCAGCCTAAGCGCCCTGGAAACCCCCATTGGGGCTCATTGGTCTGCTGGAGGAGATCTCTGAGTTCCACCTCAGTTTATGCGCGTTTGAAGGTTGCTCTGTCCCCTTGTCTCAGGGTGACACAGACCGTCTTTGCATCCACCTAGCTGTCTGTTGGGTCATTGACACCTTTGAGTCCTGTGAGTGGTATTCCTTGCTTGTACTTCAATTCACCCAGTCCACTGAGAGTGATATTGAGGTGCAGGCAGCTTCGGCATTGCATATGAGGGTTAGGCTACTGCATCGCGTGAGGTTGCTTGCCTTTCTGGTTGCCCCGCAGCTGGTTATAGGAACCCGGACTTGGGGGGTTGTTTGTCCCCTCGACTTTGGTTTCGTCCGAGCCTCCTAGTCCTTTCCCTGATGTGACTCATCCTGCTCCCCCCCCCCACCCTCTCCTCCTGGCTCCCAAACATCTGAGGGTTTCGGAGCTGGGACAGAGTTTGCCTGGTGGTGAGACTTGGGCGGCTTCAGGGATTGTCCCATCTGGATCGGCGGCAGAGGCATTGAGCCTGTTCCTCCTGCCGGAGCTTTTGGGTTGTGCCAGCGGGGCCCCTTCATCCCTGCTTTCCCAGTGGACTCTGCTTTTTCTCCAGAGGCAGAGGGTTTGGAGGACGGCTCGGCCCCGGGTCCAGACATGGAGGATCTCAGGGCTGGGGAGGAGTTTACTTGGTGGGCTTGGGTCATGTTTGACCCCACTTGGGTGTTGGTACCCTTGGTATGGGGCTTGTTATTACAGGGGAAGGGGTTTTCCTATCCCCCCCCCCCTTGCTGTACGATTTTGATATGAATTCGATTCCTCCCCAGGTTCAGTTCCAGGTTCCCTTGGGTTCTTCGGTTCCCTCCTTCTGGAGGTTTTCAGCTTCCAGCATCCCACTGAGGGAGATACGGGAGACCCTTGCGGCTTACCTCCTGCGAGACTTTGATTTTGCCTCAATAATGGAGCCATTTGTTTTTGAGTTCGGCTCCTCTTTTCCTTATTGGGTGCGTTACGAGGTGCTGGAGTCCTCCTAGCTGGCAGACTGCCCTTTCTTTTCGTTGGGGGCCCCTGCCATTTGCTTTGTCAGGCCCACACGCTTGAATGGTGGGGGATTGATTGCGGTCATTCAGGTTACCTGGGGGGGTGAGTGTGAGCACTTCAATGCGTGCTTGTTCGAGCCCCCTTCTTCCTTGTGATGTTGACCAGGTGCATCTTCAAATGCAGGTTCCCTCCCTTTAGGCGTCCTTGATGGCAGAGGATTTGTGCGCCCAGGGGCATTTGACTTCGGTCTTGCACATTTTTATCCCTGCTGGAACTGTCTTCGGACTGGCTCAAGGAGGATGTGGAGGAGCTGGGCTCTGGGCTAGTGTCTGGTGTGC